GCCCACGTGAGCGTTGAAGTCCCCCAGCAAAACGAGGGAGTCCCCAGGGGGGGCACCCTCCAGTACCCCCTCTAAGGACTCCAAAAAGGGTGGGTACTCTGTACTGCCGCTAGGCGCATAGGCACAAACGACAGTCAGGACTCGTCCCCCCACCCGAAGGCGAAGGGATGCTACCCTCTCATTCACTGGGGTAAACCCCAACGTACAGGCACCGAGATGGGGGGCAATAAGTATGCCCACTCCTGCTCGGCGCCTCTCACCGGGGGCAACTCCAGAGTAGCAGAGCGTCCAACCCCTCTCAAGAAGGCTGGTTCCAGAGCCAGAGCTGTGTGTCGAGGCGAGACCGACTATGTCCAGCCGGAATCTCTCCGCCTCGCACACCAGCTCAGGCTCCTTCCCCGCCAGAGAGGTGATGTTCCACGTCCCTAGAGCCAGCTTCTGCAGCCGGGGATCAGTCCGCCAAGGTCCCCAACTCCGGCCGCCGCCCAGGGCACAGCGCACCCGACCCCTTTGGCCCCTCCCACGGGTGGTGGGCCCGTGGGAAGGGGGACCCATGTAACCTCTATGGGCTGGGCCCGGCCGGGCCCCATGGGCAAAGGCCCGGCCACCAGGCGCTCGCCATGGTGCCCCGCCCCTGGGCCTGGCTCCAGGGGGGGGCCCCGGTGACCCGCGCCCGGGCGAGGGTACCCTGAGTCTATTTCTCTTTCTCATCATAAGGGGTCTTCTGGGCTGCGCTTCGTCTGATCCCTCACCTAGGACCTGTTTGCCTTGGGTGACCCTACCAGGGGCTTGAAGCCCCGGACAACATAGCTCCTAGGATCATTGGGACACTCAAACCCCTCCACCACGATAAGATGGCAGCCCAGGGATGGAAAAAAAAAATGTACCTTTTTAGTAATTTTTCCCCTATCCTTCACTAATTGCAGAATATGAAGTTTTATCTTTGGTTTTCTCTCCTGCCAAATAAATCTCGATTGTCCAATTCAATAAACTGTTAATCACTCATTTAAGCTATATAACTTTGTTGAATCTTTAGCGATGTTTATGCATAGGTATCTCGTATATTCCAAGTCCAAATTTAGATGAAAAATTCTGCTTGTATTCTGGCTGGGCCTATAATTAAAACTAAGTATTTGGGTCATCTGAATGTTCAATTTGGATCCGGAGACTACACCAAAATCATCTAAAAAAGAGATACGGTTCAATATTGCAGTCTCTGGGTATGATGAATAGATTAATACGTCTTCTACAAATAAAGATATTTTATGTTCTCATACTAAGATATTTATACTTGTAATGCTGTTGTCTTGTGTAACACCTAGGCTTAAAGCTTCAATAAGTATTGCAAAAAGTAGAGGACTCATAGGACAGCCTTGTCTAGTTCCTTTTTGTAGGCCAAATAGGTTTGAGACGTCACCGTTTATTTTGATTATTGCCCTTGGGTTTATTTTATAGTATTTGTACAGTTGCGATAAAAGTTTGATAAAATCCCAATTTTAGTAGTATTCTAAATAAAATCTCCCAAATGACCTGCTCAAAAGCCTTTTCTGCATTGAAGCTCAGTAGTACTGCCTGGATATTATTGTTATTTATATGTTCAGTCAAATAGAGCGTTCGGCAAATGTCATACTGGGTTTGCCTTTGTTAAAATAAATCCTGTCTGATCAAGACTCATTACCTGGGGGAGGATATTTTCGAGTCTTTTTGCCAAAATATGTATAAAGATCTTGTAGTCCTGGTTCAGTATCCAGAGCAACATGGTGTCTAACAATAAAGTCACCACTACAAATGAGGATACCTGGGCTTCAGAGAACAATAATATGAAAATGTGTTTATATCAATTCCACTCAGACCCTAGGGGCATATACATATAAAAAGGTAACCAGAACACCCTGCAAATATCCCCAGTCCAGTACCAATGTACCATCAGTATTTTTTTTTTTGTATGCACTCAAGATGTAATTTACTAGAAATTAAACTTACTACCCCTCTTTTTTAACCCTGTCCACAAGAGGGTGAGTATTGACTGAATTTCCATTTCTTAAGTTTGTCATGTTCCACATTTGTCAAAATACACTATATTGCCAAAAGTATTTGCTCACCCATCCAAATTATCGGAATCAGGTGTTCCAATCACTTCCATGGCCACAGGTGTATAAATTCAAGCACCTAGGCATGCAGACTGTTTTTACAAACATTTGTGAAAGAATGGGTCGCTCTCAGGAGCTCAGTGAATTCCAGCGTGGAACTGTGATAGGATGCCACCTGTGCAACAAATCCAGTCGTGAAATTTCCTCGCTCCTAAATATTCCACAGTCAACTGTCAGCTGTATTATAAGAAAATGGAAGTGTTTGGGAACGACAGCAACTCAGCCACGAAGTGGTAGGCCACGTAAACTGACGGAGCGGGGTCAGCGGATGCTGACGCGCATAGTGCGAAGAGGTCGCCAACTTTCTGCAGAGTCAATCACTACAGACCTCCAAACTTCATGTGGCCTTCAGATTAGCTCAAGAACAGTGCGCAGAGAGCTTCATGGAATGGGTTTCCATGGTCGAGCAGCTGCATCCAAGCCATACATCACCAAGTGCAATGCAAAGCGTCGGATGCGGTGGTGTAAAGCACGCCGCCACTGGACTCTAGAGCAGTGGAGACGCGTTCTCTGGAGTGACGAATCGCGCTTCTCCATCTGGCAATCTGATGGACGGGTCTGGGTTTGGCGGTTGCCAGGAGAACGGTACTTGTCTGACTGCATTGTGCCAAGTGTAAAGTTTGGTGGAGGGGGGATTATGGTGTGGGGTTGTTTTTCAGGAGCTGGGCTTGGCCCCTTAGTTCCAGTGAAAGGAACTCTGAATGCTTCAGCATACCAAGACATTTTGGACAATTCCATGCTCCCAACTTTGTGGGAACAGTTTGGAGCTGGCCCCTTCCTCTTCCAACATGACTGTGCACCAGTGCACAAAGCAAGGTCCATAAAGACATGGATGACAGAGTCTGGTGTGGATGAACTTGACTGGCCTGCACAGAGTCCTGACCTCAACCCGATAGAACACCTTTGGGATGAATTAGAGCGGAGACTGAGAGCCAGGCCTTCTCGTCCAACATCAGTGTGCGACCTCACAAATGCGCTTCTGGAAGAATGGTCAAAAATTCCCATAAACACACTCCTAAACCTTGTGGACAGCCTTCCCAGAAGAGTTGAAGCTGTTCTAGCTGCAAAGGGTGGACCGACGTCATATTGAACCCTATGGATTAGGAACGGGATGTCACTTAAGCTCAAATGTGAGTCAAGGCAGGTGAGCAAATACTTTTGGCAATATAGTGTAGTTTCTTGTGAGAGATAAACTTTTTTCCCCCCTGTTTAGTTCACCATCACTCTTCTTGATTGGGCATTCCAGGCCATTTACATTATAGGTATAGCATTGAATTGTTTTGACATTTTGCATAATTTACCATAATGTATCATTTTGACCACCCTCACGCCTAAAAATAACTCATATCATATACCCCTGATACTAATAAGAACAGTTAACACGAACGAAAAAAGTACACAACATTTCAAGAGAATACATACAGAGAACAAACCTAACTTTAAACGATAAGGCTTCTTCTCTGGCCTTGTGACTCTGGTGTTGAGTGAGTCAAAAGGGAAAATCTTTTCCTTCTGTACATAGGCTCTCTTTGTCTTTAAAGCTGTAACTTGGGTCCATAATGTCCTGAGGTGTCCTGACATAAAAAACTATAATTCATATGCCAATAGTATCAACTCCCTGGAAACCTCCATTATAATCAAGAAAAACGACTTACTGCCAGTCCTTACAAATTATTCAATAATATTTGCAGCATGTCTGACCCAGTGAAATCAGCAAGTTACTTATCTGAACTGCTGGTGCAGAAACCTCAGAGCCAATATTTGACACTCCATGTGGTTTCCCTGTGTCCCCCCGTGTCATCAAGTCAGCTGGTTGACGTGGTCCAGGAGGGATGTCGGAGATTTTAACACCATCACCGCTAACCCTCTCTCGGCCATGCCATGTTGCCACCTCCGCTGAACTGTAGGTCACCATGCCTTTCATGTAAAATACCCTCAACCTGGCCGGGAGCGGAGTCTGGAATCTGATGTTTCTCTTCTTCAGGACGGCTTTTGCCTCTTTATACCCCCTTTGCTTTTTCAGCAACTCCAGAGCACAGTCGTGGTCCAGGTGTACTATATTTCCTTGAAAATATAATCCAGGTTCTTTTCAGCATATTTTCATAAATTCTGTAGCTTGCAAACTTAACCACAATGGACCACGCTTCAGGGGCGAGTGACCCGGTGTGATCTTTCAATGTTCTGTGGTGGGAGGGAGCTCCAGACCCTTAATTAGTAAGTCCTCCACAGAACAGATCATTGTAGCCATATGTTCTTCTGCTCCTTCTTTGAACCTTTGTAGCCTGATGTTGTCACGCCTTAAATCCCTCCAGGTCGGTCAGTTTAGCCTCCCCCCACACTTGAAATTTCACCAGTTGTGATAAAACATCCATCGTTGACTGGATCCAGGTTTCCGCCGCATCAATCCGCTCCTCAGCTTCTTCCACTCTTTTGTTAATTTTGTTAATGTCCTCTTTAATGCTGTTTCATTGCTGAGTGGAGTCTCTCCTGAATTCCCGTAGATCTGTTAAGATTACACTGAGGCGCACATCGTGGTTCATCTCCGAGTCTGTGTCTATGTGTACGTCTTTCTCCATGTTGACGCTAGCCTGTGACAATTGACCATTGTTTTCTTCGTAAAGGGTCCTTATTTTTTGTGTTTCTTTCGGTTCTTTTGGGGATTTTTCTTTGCTTGTTATATCTACTCTTATCTACTTCTCTTTCCCAGTTACCGAGTTAAATCGGGCAATGTTTTTAAATATTTTTGTTGGGGACATGTCACTCTATGCTGCCATCACGTAGCCTAACCAGACCGGAAGTCCCAGTTTAACATGTGTGTCATTCCATCTTTTTAGTTTTTTTGCAAAGAATGGTGTAAAATTGCTTAGTAACATCTCTGATTTTAGAGGAAGGACATCAAGAAAAAGAGATGGCATTTCTATTTCATTTCAGAAAGTCCCCTCACTGTCTTTTTCTCTGTAATAATCATCTTTTTCACACGCAGCTCCCTCTTCCTCCTGCTTCCCACCCAATCCCTTCACATTTTTCTTGGCCCCTACTCCCTTCATTGTCTCCAGTGTCCTTTCCACTTTCCACAGCAGTCATAAGATGTCAACACAATTAAAAGCGAAGGCTAATCTGCTTCTCTGCCTCTCTACCATGCCTGTCCTGAATGCTAAAGCAACACAAAACACTGGCCTGGGCTGAAGACCTGGGACGACAGCATAGACTGAGCGGACAGCTGATGGTAGGGACAGCAAGAGGTGGGAGTGGGAGGAAAGAGGAGGCCAGGTAGACGAGGGGTTGAATTGTATCTTAATAATTGATGGGCAGCCCTTTCGTTTTTTAATCTGTAAATGAGAAGGCCAGAGATGCAAGACTGATACTTTGACATCCAATCCCCAGCCCATTAAGATAACAAGATGTTGGATAATAATCTTGGTTAAGATTACAGGAGGAAGTGGCCTCATCTCCCAGGTGGCTGGTCCATGATTCCCCAGTTCTGCTTCTCATTGTGTTTCATTTAGTTGAAAAGCATATAAAATCTACCTGTGTATCCTTTGTAGTAACACTTTTTTTTCTATGTGTTTATTTTGGGGATATATAGATTAAGTTCTGTTATTTATGTTTGTCTTCGTGATACGCACTCTCTCCACTTTAGAGTCACCAGTAATATTTACAGTAATGCATAAATGTAAATACATTTATGCATTCAGCAAACATTTTTATTTAAAGCAATTTAGAAGAACACTGCAGCTTTAGACTTCAGGGTCTTGCACAAGAAAACTTATGCGGAAACCTGAAGTGGAAATATCAACCTGAATGATTTGCAACTTTTCGTGTTCTTGAACTAGAGTTGCATTTGGCATGCTATTAATTAACCTAACATGCATCTTTTTGGATGGTGGGAGTACCAAGAGAGAACCAACACATACAGAGAAAGAACATTTTTTACTTTTGCATCCGTTTGATGGGTACTAGGTAAATTGAACTTCACAGTTCTGGCCCTCTCTGCTGTGTTGTAGATGTTTTATATACTTTATTTGCACTACTGAAACCTTGGATCCTGTCATTTATTTACCTCAATAGCTGCTTCCTACATCTCCCATTGCACTCTTTTTGGGTAAACACTTTTTTACAATACCTAGCTCAAGCTTCAGAGTAGCACATTTATCATTCAAGCTTCAAATGAATTAACTTGCGGGAAAATATCTGAGCAGTCTGCAATCTTACGTTGACCTGTATCCTGCAGCACCAGAGTAGAAAGAAAAAAAGAATCGGATGACAGCGGAAACAAAAATTTGATAAATGAAAGAAACTGTTTTCAAGGATTTTTTAACAAAAACCCATAGAGACAAAGTGAGCAGTTGTGTCCCAGTGTCATATGACACCGTTTCTCTGAATGGGATGTAGCATTATTTTTAACATTTACATATAAATGAGAGTGCATTGCCCTGATTTTAGCCTCCTTGCTCTGGCATTATGATTATTTCAGGATCAACTAAAGTTATTTTTTTGTGTGTGTTTGTAATAAGTACCTAATGGTTTTGCTCCAGATCATTTGTGTAAACATGCTGTGTCATGAGAGAATATAAACCTGAACAATGCACAACGCTAACAAAAGTTAGTGTAAAAGTTAGTTATAAATGAGAGTGCATTGCCCTGATTTTAGCCTCCTTGCTCTGGCATTATGATTATTTCAGGATCAACTGAAGTTCTTTTTTTTTTGTGTTTGTAATAAGTACCTAATGGTTTTGCTCCAGATCATTTGTGTAGACATGCTGTGTCATGAGAGAATATAAACCTGAACAATGCACAACGCTAACAAAAGTATCAAATAAAGATTCCTTAATAAAATACAAAGATGGAAATCTGAAAGTTACTCCTGCGAGTCCTAACAAATGACAAGGCAGAATTACACATGAGAACATGTGTGGTGAATTATGGGATCGTCGTCTTCAAATAGCTCAAGTGAAGGTGCTGCAGGAAAAACTCGCAGCTTGAACCAGCCAGTGAGAAAATGTGTGGAGGTTGTTTGCAAAGACAAGTTGCTGTTTAGCAGGAGGCTCCTGTGGCAGGTCACTGGGCACGTCTGAACCAATACTGGTGACAGATAGGGAAAAGAAATGCTATATCTGAAAGGGTGAGCATCCACTAAGCCTATCTCACACGTGATGATCTAGTTGCCCCCTGGGGAACCGCTACTCTGGTGGCTGAGCTGTTAGAAATGCCGGCTCGGACAGCTGTGCGGGAGGAACAGTGGCAGGTGGAGGAGGGTGTGAAGCGCTGGCTGCTGCTGTCACAGTGCACTGCAGTAGTGGTGCAAAAGTTAAGGATCATGGTTGCTAGACAAGTGCATGATGGACTTTAGGGGTGTGGCCACCAGCATAAGGACCCAGGGAGTAGTGTGACGGACATGAGGCATATCCTCCAGCTTAGGCAGTTCCAGGCTCAATAACTCTGAAGGCGGTAACTGGACTGGGGCTTCTGGATCCTTGTATGATTTTTGCCCAGAGTCAAGGAGTTTGACTGGGGAGTTGCCAGAGGAAACCTAACATGACCAAACTTCCAGCCCAGCACAGGTGGAGGAGAAGAGCACATCGTACTCTGCTCCCTGCTATCTGCCAGTCCAACGCACAATCTCTCTGCAATAAAATTGACGAAATTGGCATCATTTTACGGATTGGCAAATACTTCCTGAGTAACTCTGTTCTTTTCATCAGTGAGACCTGGCTGCACGACGGAGTTTCACCGTAGAAACCTCTCAGCCTAATTCGGTAGTTCTTGTGATGGGAGATTTCAACCCCTGCAATCTCTCTCAGGGGCTGCCAAATTACAATCAGTTGGTGACATGTGCTACGAAAGACAACAACACCCTGGACCACTTCTACTCCACTAGTAAGAACTCCTACCGCTCCATCCCCCGTGCCCTCCTCGGACAATCCGACCACTGGATCATTCACATGGTCCCCACATACAGGCAGCAACTGAAGAGGTCCAAACCATCAAGGATTACAGTGAGGAGGTGGACTCCAGAGGCAAGGGACATGCTTCAGTATTGGATGGAGTCTACTGACTGGGAGAAGGGCCCTGAGGATGACAACGGCTGCTTCACTGACAATGTATGTTCTTACATCAGCTTCTGTGAGCAGGTTTGCCTCCCAACCAAAATATCACAAGGTACAATAACCAAAAGTCTGGTTCTCTAAGCAGCTCAGAGAGCTCACACGCCGGAAAGAGCAGAGAGATAGAGAAGGTGATAGGGACACATTCAGGCTGGCCAAAAAGGACCTTAAGAGGGCCATTAGATCTGGTGCTATTGCGCCAGACTTGATTCAGCCACCAGCGACAGTTGTGTGGAGTACCCTAGGACCGTTACAGGGTACACAGGCAAAAGCCCTGCCATCACCCCCTCCCCCGGAATAGCTGACGATCTTCTACACCAGGATGACCTCTTCATACCTTCTACACCTGGGTGGGAGATCACTTGCCCCTATTTTGTCTTCACTCCATTGCCCAAATCCTTCCTTTCACACAGGCACTGTGAGCTGTCCATCCCATCCCTCATTGCCCCATAACTCCCTCACACACTGCACCCCTTCCTCCAATGGCCCTCCCCTGCTCTCTCCCCACTCACCTTAACCCCCCCCCCTTTCCCTGTCTCTTACTCCCCTACCTCCCATACCAAATCCCCCCATTACTCCCTCACACACTGCATCCCTCCCTCCACCTCCCCGGCTCCCTCCCCACTTACCTCCCCCCCCCCTCTCCTGTCTCCTCTCCCCCATCTTCACAAAGGCTGACGTCATCAAGGTCTTCACCCGGCAGAAGTCCAGGAAAGCCTGATGGCGTCTCCCCAGCAACCCTGAAGGACTGTGCCACCCAGCTGTCACCAGTGTTCTCAGAAATCTTCAACCGGTCCATCTCTGAATGTCATGTGCCACCTTGTCTCAAGACATCCATCATAATCCCAGTTGCAAAGGACAGGATAACGTGCCTGAATGAGTACAGACCTGTCCCCCTGACATCTGTGGTCATGAAAAGTTCAAGAAGCTCATCCTGTCCTACCTCAAACCAACCACTGACCCCCTCTGGGACCCTTTACAGTTTGCCTAAAAAGCAAATCGCTCTGTTGACGACGCCATCAACCTCAGCCTACACCACATACTGATGCACCTGGACAAGCCGAGCTCCCACATCAGGGCCCTGTTCGTGGATTACAGCTCGGCCTTCAACACCGTCCTCCCAGACCACTTGCACAGCAAACTATTAGATGCCATACAGGGACATGGTGTCACAGCTGGCAGCGTGGATGCAACAACCGTGAGCTCAACATCAACAAGACGATGGAGATAGTCATAGACTTCCGCAGACATCCCCACCCCCCACCCCCACTTCTCATCATTGGCTCTGCAGTTTAGGTGAACTCTGAAGTTCCTGGGCACTGCCATCACCAGTGACCTCAAGTGGGAGACACACTCGACCAAGGCCATCAAGCGGGCTCATCAGAGGATATTCTTCCTCAGACTGCTGCGCAAGATGAACGTCTCCCCCAAGGTTCGCTCCCCCTTCTACAGAGCCACCACTGAGAGTGTCCTTGTCTCCTCCATCACTGTGTGGTTCCCTGCATCCTCTGCCCACACCTCATAGACTGGAGCGCATCATGCGCATGCCGAGCCACCTCACAGACGTCTAACAGGAGCTTGTGTGTGTTCTGCACAATAGAAGATTCCAGCAGAGGGCTTGGAGGATAGTGGAGGACCCAGCTAACTCCCTATTCACACGCCTCCCATCAGGTCGAAAGGTTCAGATCCATCAGGACCAGAATCACCAGGCACCTGAACAGTTTTTTCCCCCAGGCCACCATCATAAATAAGGACATGTCCACCCTCCAACCACTTCCACAGTCACTTGTTATTTAAACTGTCCTGTTGCGCTGGAATACCATGTCAAATTCCTGTGTACTTTGTACATTTGGCTAATTTCTGATTCTGAAGAACTCCAACCATCTCTGCCTCTATGTACAATTGGCCTGGGATGCTCCAGCCCCTGGCAACCTTCAGTGGAAGTAATTTGCAATGACGTAGCCGGTCTAGAATCCTGGGCAAAAATTGGCAGCCGCTTGTCCAGTCTGTCAAATTTATAATCACAGCCAAGGTCGGGCCCACTCAAAATATTTCAGTGTTAAACATTCGTGCAAACCTCTTAGCATCATGGTGCACTGATCTGTTACATTAACACAACCTCTTCCATTGTCCTTTTCTTACAACTATTCATATTTTAACTTTGAAAAACAGTAATAGAGCCAATTAAAATAAGTTCCTTAAATGACATTGAAAGCAATTACATGAAAAACCTCATTGTCACCACTTAAAGTTCAGACATGGTGGTTTTCACCATAGTTGAACCAAATCCTGGTTAGTGTTGCATGACTACACTCTTAAATTGATACCTTTAGGTTCTCACGCTGTCCCGGGTAGTACTCTGTTTCTGAGTTTAAATCCATTTTAAGCTTCACAGAGCTCTCAGCAGGGACAGAGAAAAGACAACCCAGCAAGCATATCATTGTGACATCAACATATTAAGTGACAGGAAAATCCCAATGGGCCTGTGTGATATTTAAGAAAATGGGCGGCTCTAGAAGTTAGTATTCATTAAAGGTCTTTAGGGTGGTTCTATGCATAATTCCTCACCTAGACCACTCCCCTCCAATCTTTTTTTCCACAGGGTTTTTTCCGCCGAAGCATCCAGAAAAATATGGTATACACATGCCACCGTGACAAGAACTGCATTATCAACAAGGTGACGAGGAACCGTTGTCAGTTCTGTCGCCTGCAGAAGTGCTTCACTGTAGGAATGTCCAAAGAGTGTAAGTATTTGATTTAAACATATCATGAAATTGAACATGGCTGCATGGTCATTTGGTAGTCGCACCAGTCAAACATCATGTGCCTAACCCTAACAAACTGAAATAGTATAGAATAATCAATTTACTAAAATGCATATTTTTTAATGACTGTGAAGTACTTATAGACAACCCATACAAGGAGAACACATAAACTTGATTGCAAAGTTGCAGCAGAGATTTCAATCATTAGTCTTCTTGCTTGAGGTGAAAGTGCTAAGGTTTCTACCATTTGAAACGTCAATGTTTAAACTCCTGGCTTGATGGGTCACACGTTGAAGCACATTTAGCCACAAAAAACTGAACTTGTTGTTGGCTGATGTTTCCATTGGTGGATGAATGTGTATGATAGAGAAAAAAACAATTTAACTTGTAAATTAAAAGTCTTTTGAGTCAGGCAATAAGAAGTTCCTAACTGAAGATGACTCCTAAATATACACAGACACGGAATGGTGAAAAGATGGAACGAATCAGTGCAGGACAGCCAATCAAACCAAATGGGGAGACACAAAAATTAAGGCTAAATAACCTGAAATGACAGGAAAGTTACGTATCAAAATACAGGAAGTCACGTTACACGAGATGGCTACGGGAACCATGGGCCTTTAAACAGGTTTCACCCCACTGACGTGGAAGCTGAGATGTACTGTACTTTCATGGACCAGGGAAGATGAATGTGTCTGCGTCTCCTCAGGTTGAAGGGTTGATGACCTTGGACAATGGAAATGGAGCCATGAACTGAGAAGGTGAAGAGGTAAAACCTCAGCCAGAAGTTGTGGCTGGGCTCATACATTGGAACAGGTCTGCCCCTCTTATTTGCAGCCTTTTTCAAATGGTCCACGTTTCTTTGTAAGATTTTCCAGGCGATTCCCTTTTTGCAGGGGGTTGATATCCAAAATTACACTTTCCACATATTCCCTGACCTCTTTCACAATAGAATGCCATCAAAATATTTAGGCAATGAACCCCATAGTGTCCAAACTCAAGAACAACAGGTGAGCTGCAATGTGCAAACCTAATGGATTACCTCAGGCTGCATTTCGACTAAAAAAACCAATTCACAGGACAGCCACTAGGTACAGGATTCTTCTTTAGCTCGCATCATTTCAGATTCTATTTGCCAAGTCATCGTTCCTACCACACAGTTTAATGATGGGATTCAATTTAACTTTATTTTATTTATATAGTGCCAAATCACAACAACAGTTATTTCAAATCACTTTCCAAACAACAAAAACAAAACAACAAAACATAAAACTGGTTTTACAGCTCTTTCTAAGGTTCCTAAGTTTAGAGGTTCCAGTTGAGGGCAAGCGTTGGTGGATTTTGTTTCTAATAGCTAGAATTTTATCATTAAAGAAGCTCATGAAGTCGTGGCTAGTGAGAGCTACAGGAATACTTGAGCTTTCTGTCAGCCTTGCTACAGTGCTAAAAAGAAACCTGGGATTGTTTCTATTTTCCTCTATAAATGAGAAATAGTATGCTGCTTTGGCATTACAGAGGGCCTGTACGCTCAACAAGATCAGAACGCTTCCCACAAGACAATGGTGTTTTTGTGCAGAACTCAGATACCCCCGACTGAAGCTCTGCAGGAAGAAAGGTTGTTGAAGCCGTCTGGAATCCGTGTAAGATGGGGTTACGTGTTCAAGTATGAAACGGGGGATCGCTGCCTGTATCAGCTGCATGAAGGGGCTGACAAGTTGCAGCCGATACACTCCTTGGGCATGCTGACATCAAATGACCGGGTAGTTCAGAAAATTATGTTCAAGCTCCCCCGTCTCTTCCCAGCCAGAGATGGAGAACGAGGAGGAGGACTCATAACTTCCAGCCTGTCAAGGAGCTTCTTCGGGGTGAGAGGAGGGCGGATGCAAAGGATGGCTGGATATGCTTTGGGTTCAACAAAGCTGTAAAAACTGCAGTGCTCAATCTTCTCAACACCGCAATTAAACTATACCGTGAACCATCCTAGCCTGTGACAGCATCAGGGCAAGAATGTGCTTGAGGAGGACTTTTTTAATCGTAACTACTTTGGTTTGACTTATTAACCGTTATCAACGTATTTTCCAAAAGAGTCTATGCCAGGGCTTTAAAAATTAAAACATTTTAAATGAAAAATCTGAGGTGGTAAAAAGAATTTAAATCTGTTGTAAAAGTCATATTCCCAAGAAACTTCAAACTGATGTGGGTAACTAATTTTTCAACAAAACATTTAAGGCTTTGATGGATAAAAGCAGTATTGAACATTTTTCTAAGGCTAGTGAAATAATAGCATCAGTGGTTGAGAGGTTTAACTTCACATTAAAATCAAGAATTTTGAGATATTTCACTGCCAACAACACTCTTCGATATGTTGATGTGCTTCAGGATCTAGTAAAAAACTACAGCTACCATTCAAGTATTAAAATGACAGCTATGCAGGTAACTGCAAACAATGCTTGTTTCGGAACCTTTACGGAACTAGCTCAAAGCGGTGCAAAAAAATCAAGACAGCGTTTAAGCAAGATGACCTTGTCAGAATCTCCAAGGTGCACTCCACTTGTTTGACAAGTGTGGCAGTCGTGCCACCGTGGGTGCCCCGACAGAGTCTTTTAAAGACCAAGATTTGGTGGTTCAACAGGTTTATTTCGAGTGTGAGTGCCACCTGCACACACACTCTCTCACACATGCACACACTCACGAACGCCCGGTTTGGGCTCCTTTGTTTGTCGGCCGTTGCCTGTTCCGTTCAGAGCTGGTGGCTTGTCCTGCTCCAGCTCAGATCATACAGCGATCTTCTCCCATATTCAAACTCAAAGATTTAGACGGAGAGCTAGTCCAAGGTTCTTTTTATGCAGAGGAGCTTCATAAAGTAAAAATGTCAAAAAACAAGATGTATCAAGTGGGTGAGATATTAAACAAACGCAGCGTCAGAGGGGTTAAAGAGGTCTTAGAACGCTGGAAAAATTGGCCGGAGAAATTCAACAGCTGGGTGAGAGCGGATGACCTGCCGGATGTATAAAAAAAAGCATTGCTCACTCAGAGCTGACAGTGCAACATGGACCCCATGACAGAGGATGAGGGGTTTTACCTCACCCTGCCCACCAACACTAGATTCAGTGTTTTTAAGGGTCATACCATATTGAGTTTCCGAGTGGATTTAGCAAAGTATATTAATTTAGAAAGTCAGTGGCAAGTGGCTTTGATAGAGATGTCTTATCCACACAGATGGCAGAATTTACCAACATAGGCAGCCTACTTTGATTGGTGGAATGTGGGGGAGGAAAAAA